GTGTGTGTGTGTGTGTGTGTGTGTGTGTGTGTGTGTGTGTGTCAGTGGTGGGGTTCAAAATTTTTTGGAACCTCTTCTGTAGGTGTGGCCTGCTTTCCGGGTCCACTGGTGGATCCTCTTCTAACCGGTTCGGTAGATTTGACGAACCGGTTCTACCGAATAGGTGCGAACTGGTAGGAACCCACCTCTGAATTGCACCTATAATGGTCAAAGCTAAACTGGCGCTAGATAAGAGTCAACAGAATTCAAGGGAGAGTGCTCTTGTGCCTCTTGCGGCAACGCAGCGACTCCAAGCTGATAACCCTTTTAATCCCACCTTCTAGTTCAGCTCCTTCTCCTACAGAACGGAGGACTTTACAGAAACTGATCTAGAGATTCTGGTGGAAGCAGAGAGTCTTGTAGCAGAGAGCTAGCACAAAGCACAAGCCAGTAAAAAATCATTCCCCCACCTTCTGCCTGGAAAAGGTGCCACAATACCAAAGCTAAGAAGAAGGTTTCTTTGGATGGCTTACTATGAAGAGCAATGTACAATCATCTGCCATGACTTTTGATTTGGTATCTCGTGTCCATTCCCATGATAGATAGCACAGGATCTCTAGAGAAGAGGGGACCGCATCTTAAATTGTACACAGAATTGTGTAAGAGCCTTCTGGGAGGCCATTCCTAATCTCTTGGACCATGGCTAAGTCTTAAGTTCTTAAATGAATAAAACTTCACGACAGCTGGACATTCATGTTTGAGGAGCATGGGCTCCAGCTCCCCAAATTGCTACTATTTTTTTAAAATCGTTCTAAAAGTAGAAACGATCTCAACACACACATGCAAAAGATCCCCGTAGGCTGGGGTTGTTGTCTACTATAAGAGACTCCAAAACATCTTGAAGGAACCATCCGTTCTAGAAGGTTGGTATCCCAGAGCCCTTAAAGACTTAAGTCAGTTGTGTAGTCCTAAAATTCCCATCGGAGAGCGAGAGAGAAATGAAATAACAAATTGCAGGGATGCCTAGCATATTAAAATCTACCTCTTCTCTATTGTCCCATTTGGGTTCCATTGAGATGGTTGTTCTCAGTTCATGGTTAGAGAGATGCTGAGGTTGCCCTCAAAGACTTCAGTGAAAGGTACCCAGAACCAACTGTGAATTCATAGGACTTTGTCAGAAATCAAATCCAGAAAGCACACCCAGAAAACTGATTCAGCAGGATTCATTAACTTTGTTATATACATAATAACGCATGAGTAAATGTACAAAACCAAAAGCAGATTCTTCCAATGTGGTAGAGAGGAGAGACTGGTTTTCAGTTTCAATTCAGAGAGCAGACTAGATTAGTTCTCATACGCAGACTCAGAGCTACACAGGTAAGCCACGCCCAGGCTCCAAGCCGTCTGACATGGCTCTCAGTCACCAAATAGTTCCCATTGGCTGACCCAGCTGCCATACATATTCATTGGCTGACCTTGTTACCCTGTCCTATTCCAGCCACTCCCCAATGGCTGACCTGTTGCTATGTCCTATTCCAGTTCATGGATATTCTGACAGACTTTGACCATGGACATAAAAGCTTCTAATATTTCTTTCAGTTGCATCTCATCTCAATGAAATAAAAAACCTCATTTGGACAGTCTGAAAACCTCCTTCAGTCCACGCTCTGAAGAGATCCACTCTTATGATTTAGTGAAATAGTTTCTCATCCTCTACTTTCCATCCCTGCCCTGTGGTCCATTCTCCTTTTTCTGTAGCAGTTTGCCACGATTAGGTCTCCTGGCAGCAGATTCAGAGTAACTCAAGATCGCAAAGGATGATCTTAGAAAGTTCTTCCCTCATAGCAATCCCATGGATTCAGTCAGAACTGAAGAAGCTTCTTGGATGAGAAGCGAAACCTCTTCAAGGGAAAACAAAGTCCAGTTGCCTTTTGAAAAAAGCACCTTTGGGACATGCTATAGATCAGCGGTTCCCAACCTTTCCAACTTAGTGGCCTAGCCCGCCATGGGGTATGTGTGTGTGTGACAAAGCGAGAGTGGCATGCATGCACAGCTCCATGTATGTGAGTGGCAGGCGCACAACCTCCACTTGCACAAATGGAACTTTGCACACAAGCGCAAACGCCCTCCAGTCACACAAGTGAAACTTCATCCGTGCACACTTGTTCAGCTTGGTCCCGGCAAAACCCCTTTTATTTACACGATTGTGAATTCCTTTCCTTCGCAGTCCGCAAGGCTTGGCAAAAAGTCAAGGAATATTTATCAACACGAACCTTATCTCGCTTGGAGAGTTGCCAGATAACTCATTTCCAAACGCAGGGCAAGGCAAAACTTGGCACAGAGTCTCTTATAGTCACAAACAGAAATTTCCACTCTTGAAACAACCGAAGGAATGAATTGTTTCCTGCAAAAGCCCCCTCCCCATTCGCTCCTCTTTTGAATCCTATGGGA